TGGAACACCTCGACCTTTTGGCTAAGATCAAATGTAGTGTAGTTCAGTATCAAAGAGTGATGTTTCTTTTTAAAACGTAGCTTTAATGGTACAGTAGATGTTAGAACTTTAATGTGATTAATTACTATGCTGTGAGAAGTACCACTTGCTGATTAAATGAACAAAAGAGCTGAAGTTGTGCTAAAACTTTGATACTCAACCACTGATCTAAGGACCTTAAACTGGGAGGGCAATATAATAGTGCTGCCAGTGAGATAATGGCTGGAACAAAGTGTTAAAGTTCGAGGTTATACATGTATAACATATTTTTATGTAATGCATTAAAAAAACACGACAGTCTGCTGAGCATCTGTTTTCAGGCTAGCTATACTACATTCAGTCTTTGAAAACAAAGATATATCTGAACAGTTGCTGTATTTTTAACAACTTTTGGGATGCTTCAACCCACATAATATATCTCTGCCAGTGTAATTTATTACACAATACAAAGACAGCAATAAATAGTCTGGGAATTTAGTTTAGGTGTTTTCCCTCTTCACTCCACTCCTTTTCATTCTAGATTAGATTGGGATTAGCAGCATTTTTATATTGATAATGCTGTATTCAAAAACACCAGCTCAGAAGGCCCTGGTGGTAGCAAGGCTTGTAAGAGGAATGAAATGAAAGGCTTTCCATTTGGAGCCAAAATTCATAGCACCATTCATAGCCCACATCACTTTTCTTATACTGCTTGACAGACTCCCTAAAATGCTTCTCTTGTAGTAACTCACATGTCTTTACATGTAGAGAATTTTGAAGTGACATGATTTTCATAAAATCTTTTCCAAGTCACTCCTCATCCAAACAGGATGCGTATGTTTGAGTGAGTTAAGCTAATCTTTGCTCAACCATGGGCTGGTCCAAAATTTTCCGCTGCCTGAAGTGGAGCAGGAATGGAGCTCCCTGTCCTGAAGTCTGATAGAATAGTTGCTACTACTTCATTTGGAGAACACTGTCTCCCTCCCTCCTTCTGCCTTGCTGCCTCTCCATGGCTCCATCTGAAGCAGGTCACTTTGCCCAGCTCACTGATAGGGCCAGCCCTGTCCAACTGAAACTCTTTAAAAAGAAGCTATACAGAAAGGAATAGTTGCTCTTTAGTCACTGACAATTCATCTAAGCCACATGCTGAATTCTCTAGCTTCCAGTAGCTACCAAAGCCCTAATAATTATATCTACTTTCAGATATTTCCCCAGCCATTCGTATTAAGAAGGAGAAAGTCTGGTTAAGCTATGATCTACCAGGAAAATGTCTGCTTGATTTGAATATTAAAAGTATAAACAACAAAGACTTATTCAAGTTAGCTTTTTTGTCCTGTGGACCCTTCCCCTTGATGTGTGGATATGGACCTGAAAGTTAAAAACTATAAATGAATATATAATAAAAAATAAATATACAATAAAACACATTACAAACTACTTCAATACAGAACTGAATAATTGTCTTTTAAGCAAACTGTCATGTTAAATTTGTGTTAGCCTTGGCTTGCATTAATGTCTAGAATAAAATCTTGTCTTCTCTGGTCTTCCTTTGTAGCAGAAAGCAAGTTATTCAAATATGGGATCATCCTTTGCCTGATATTTGTGTGCACCAAAGAAACAGCTGCACAGATGCTCAATTCATTTGCTTTCATTTCTCTTTGAAGGAAGTTTTTGGCTTTGGGTAACCAACTGCTTTCTGTTTCAATACCATAAAATGAAGGTGGTCAAGAAGGGCCAAGCCCTTGGTTGGTTCTCAACTGTTAAAGATTTAACACACTGCCAGTGCTTTTCGGCTGAGATCAGTACCCCTTTGCTCACTTTGGAGGGCTCTGCTGTGGCCAAGCCAGAGGCGTTGACACAGAAAAGCAGGGACCCAAAGTGTTCGTGGAGACCAAGAGTGGGCTGTCCGGACTCAGGTAGCCACAATGGGCATGTGGCCAGTGCGTGGATGAAAGAAGCTGTTCTTCAGAGGCACAAAGGGAAGTCTGTGATGGTGTAAGCTCAAACATGGGTCTGCACAGAGCACCATGGTTGTGCTGAATGTTAAATAAACTTGTTTACAAAAAGGCCAGGACTATGTATATATCTAGGCATACCAGGGGGGACTGGCTGTGCCCTTTTCATCACTTCGTTGGGATTTAATAATTTGTTTTCTTCCTGCCAAGTACATTGAATGGCAAATAAAATAAAAATAACTATGGTGCAATGGAAATATAACTAATCCTTTTTCACATGTCCTAATATCAACTCTCTCTCTCTCTCTCTCTCTCTCTCTCACACACACACACACACACACACACACACAAACACACACGGGGGAGCTTTTACATTTTGCAGATTTTATTTCTGCATGTGACCCAGGTAAACAACTATCTTATATTATCTGTATGGTATTTGGATCCTGTAAGTCCATGTGAAGGAGGTCATAATAAAGAAAATTGCATTGTGGTTTCATCCAATTTTCTTGTTACCTATTTTTGGCCTACTTATGTTTTAAGGCAGCACTCAGAAGACATGTGTTGAGTATTAGACCAGGAACGAAATCCTGGTCTGGGAGCAAAAAAATGAAACATGTATCCATGGCAAGCTGTCACTTAAAAGACACAGGAGTCAGGTTGCAAATTTGTGTCCATCACAAATGCATGTTCAATTGAAGCCACTACAGAGCAAATACATATATTCACTGGTCAGTCAAATGATGAAAATGCATGGAGAAACTGATCCATTAATGACCTGCCACACAGGATTGGTGCATCTCTGTGTGTGCATGCACACTTGTGTGTACACATACCAAAATTACTGGCATAAGGAAAAGTTAAAAAAACTCTTTGGAGGGTCTCATTGCTAGATTTCTTCCTAAGTAAATAAATTAATTCAGTTTTATAAGTAAAATAAAATTGCTGAAACAAACTCTGAGATAGTTGTATCACTACTGTTGAGTCCTTACTGTGGTTACCAAGATTAGAAATGCAATGTGCCAGCATGACATGATGCCACTTGAAGTATTCTATTTCAAATATATCTATTTAAAACCCAATGCAACTAACATATGAAACTCCTAGTGTCTATCATATATGAGATCCCATTTACCACTGTAGATGTTCTGGTATATTCTGGTATTTATCTGCATCTCCCTTTTGTGAACCTGATGTACAGTTGTTGGTACCTTTAAGATATTTTTCTGTGCCTGTTTTGCTCCTTAAATCAAAGACAGGGATCATCTCTGTCCTTTAAAATTATCAATGATAACCAAAACAATGTACAAAAGAAACAAACATATAATGTTTGCTAAGCAACTGACCAGTTTAGGATCTCCAGTGTTTTACACCCAAATGTAACACAAACAGGATGGACGCAGTCAAAACTGCTTGCACTCACTGTTTCAAAAATTCGTCAATATTCAGTTGTTCTCATTTATATCTTCCAACATCAGTAACAACAAGTCTAGTTTCCACAAACTCTGGTCATCTTTTTGAGATAAGTAGTGTGTACAAAAGTACTTTAGAGCCTTGAAATCACATTATTGTTAGCACTGCATACACCCAAATCCCTCAAATAGACAAGGAGCCTCAAAACGTCATGGTCCGTTGTTAGCAAACACCTTTCCCTGAATCTTTCACATAATCCAGATAAAGCATCAAGGTACTGTGACTGCAAAAGATCTCTTTGTCATAGCAAGATATTGACAGATGGGAGAAAGAAAAAGAAAGATAAGGGGGCTGTCTATTATTCTTCACGCAGAGCCATTACTTTTATTCAGTTGTCACACACTCTTGACTAATGCAAGGGAGAAGTCTATATTCTCAGTGCTATCAATGGGTTCACGAAGAGTCGGACACGGCTAAACGACTAAATGAGGGACGATCAATGGGTTGGATCCAGACTAAGTTAGTTGAACCTAGATCCTACTGAGATCAGCACGACAAGTCAGCAATGTCTAACCATATTGATTTCAAGGGGAATCTATGTTCAACAAATTTAGTCAAGATTTAACCTTACAATATAAAAAAGGACATACAGTATGATTATCCTTAAATCTCTAAATATTTTTATCTAACAGTTTTCCTAATATTGAACTTCTAACTTTCTATCCAAAACAGCAAATCAATGGATTTGCTAATGTTTCCACTCTGTGCTTAAAAAGAAAAAAGATCGCCCCCCCCAAAAAAAACCCACAGAAATTTCCACATGATGGTCCAAATTCAGCATGAACTAAAATGAAGTGTATATACTGTATAATACAAGTTAATTATTTTAGCATCCTTTTGCAATCCTTTGCAGTCTCATAGAGGTAGTTATTTCAGCCTGTTTTAGCACAAATAAAAAGTACTGTGTCACCTTTAAGACTAACAAGTTTATTTTCAGTGTCTGCTTTCATGAATTGCAATGCACTTGTCCAGACACATCATAATACATCCTGCTAATCCAAGATAGGAACAAGGACCTAACAACGATACTTAAACCCTGCCTTTGAACTACCAACTTGATTTTTTGAATTTCACCTGGCATTGTCTTCTTCAGGATAAAGACTAGACTTTCCTTTTAAAACAAAACCCCATAGAAAAGTCATGATTTTCACAGGGTAAAGTTCTATGTTCAGTACCAAATTTCATGTTTGTAGAGTATAATACAGTAAGAGCAGGACTATGAAATGCCACAAAACTGGTAGTGATGCTTTACAGCAGGACTTTTGTCAATGCTTCAAAGCACCAGGGTGTTTCCAGTTAAACCCAAACTCACTGACCCAGGCACTGTGGTCTTCTCTCAGCAAGACACAATTTTAGAGGTATGCCTTCTGCTACTGTCACCTTTTCAGAAACATCTCTTTCCAAATATCTATCAACACACTGACTGAATTCCTTCACCTGACCGTAGGAAAAAAAAGCCCAATATAAGAGACAGGGAAGAAATAGGAGATGAAGAGGGAAAGAGATAAGCAGTCTGGTCTGTCATGGTAGCTAATAAGAAGAAATCCAACTTACCAGCTTTCACAGAGGAGATCAGGACTCCAGACAGCGTCAGAAGGATGAGCTGAAGAACCATCGTATGGGGTATTGCTTTCCTTCAGAGAATGAAACGTCTCTTGGAATGCTTAAACCCTCTGAAGCCTTACTGTGGAAAGCAGCTTCCTGAGGTACACAAAAATCTTGTCCAGTCAGTCCTGAACTCCCTTCACATATGTGTATACACATCTACATCCACAGAACTGCAAGCATTTGCCAGCCCCCTCACGGTCTGACAGACCTCCTTATGCCAGAAAGCAGCTCTGCCCTTTTACAATTTTGTCTTATCCTCCTCACCCCTCCACTTCTATGGTTGGCTCCTGGAAGCCAGCCCTCCCAACAAAGCAATACACACACCCTCTGGCAGTTAGCTGCAAAACCCAAAAGGCGCCAAGGACTGTACTGGGTTTCTAACAACTGGAGTACACATCTAACATCACCCTGTGTTAAGGACAGTGGTGAATAACAGCATTCATTAAAAATGCTGAAGTTGAAGTAAGCATATATTTGGACAGGCTTTACTATACATCCAGTGAGAAGGTAGAGGCAACCTCCAAATCAATTTATAACTAGGGGTAATCACAGCCATAGAGCTTTTCAGACTGGTAGTGTCAGAAATGTTGGAACATAAACACACCATCGGTGCAGCCTGGAGAGAGAACAATAGATATTAATATTTTTGCAGCATTTTATCAGATCCAGTTATTAGTTCCCTTTTGATAAGCAGATTTAAATTATGTGCATATAGATTTTTAAAGAACAGTTTCCTCTCTACTCAAAGTTGAGGGAGAACACCAAATATGCTCTTCAATCAGAGACTTGTAAAAAATATATATATTAACTGGTAGAGATTTTTCATCGGCACAAGAAATAGATACCTCAATATCCAAACACCTTTCCTTTGAAGGAAATGGCATTGATTTTTTATTGAATAAACACTTAAAATAGAGGCAAAGATGGACTTTGACAGACATCAAAGTTAACTGAATATCTGACAATGTCCTATTTATATGTGATCTCAGAGCACCACGTAAAAATTTCCAGTTCAGTTGGCCACCTTGAACTTCTCAGCAGCAACAAACCAGTCTTAAAAGCTTACATTCAAAAAGCAGCATAAACATCTCTGTCTGTTTTACTGGCGGTGGTGGGAGGGGGATACTAATTCTCCAAACCGCTTCCCCTGTTGGTGTACCTCAGTCAGTTTTTCTGTTGGAAATTTGAAATGAAAAAAAAAACTGTTTTAAGAACCACTGTACTATCACACAGTTAATTTTAGCTCCCTATGGCATAGTTTTGAACGCGTGGATTGGTTCTGAGCTGCAGTTCATAGACACTGGTATAGATACTGACAATTTCCCTTATTATTTATGTCTATTATGGAACCTCTGATTTTTCCAAATCTGAAGTTCCATCTTGTTCTTTCATGCGTAATAGTCACTTTCAAAGTAATAGTGCTGTTATATTAACTGTACTATTTATAACTGGATACTGTATTGTAGTAAAACTTGTACTTTGAAGTATAATGAAGAATTATTGTGGCTTGAAAAGATTTGGAAATAGCCACTGTTTATGATTCTTTCTGTCAATCAAACCTTTCTTCTGATAGGACTGTTACATATCCTGAGTTTATCAATCCAAAGACTTGGCACTTTGACACATACAAACCTTTGGGACACTCTTCTTGAGAACATACTACAAAATAAAAACAGAGTCTGAAATTATTATTTTTTCCATTAGAAATATTTTGCAGGTATGGAAGACAGAAGGCAAAGACAGAAGAAATAGTCTCTAGTACCCGATTTTCAATGTAAATTCCCTTTCTGCATCTAGACATATTACTCAGAAAATATTGACATGAAAACCATGATACTCTTAATGCAAAGTGGGTGCAAAGGCAGCATTAACGTGCAAACAGAAGATATCTGCTAAATTATCACTTACCATATTGTTAATGGGACCACTTGGTAAAAATGTATTGCTACACACACATTATAGTAATTTGAAATAAATTGTAATCATTTGTATATTACTCCCCCCCCCAAACAGATTAGGATGGTACAGATAGATTTTCCCCCATCTACTATTTTAGCTTCATAAGCCCTGTGAGGTACGTTTAGGCAGTGTGACCCTTCCAAGGCCATCCAGTGAACCAATTTATCCAAATCATAAATAATCAGGTTATCTTTAGCCAAATGGTAGTTTAGTACAATATAGTAAACCAGTACAGTATCTTCACATTTAATCCATAATGCAAGCAATGGAGATAGCACAATTTTTGTTACTTCTTGGTAAAAGAAAATAGATGCCCCACTTACCTAGGGAGAAATAGCACACATTGTTATCATTAGGCAAATTTCACCTCTACTTATACCTGACAGAAGCAAACATGTTATAAGATTTTCTGTCCCAACTGGCAGGACAATACAAATGAGTGGATGGCCACCATTACTCTAGAGGTAGGATACTATATACCATGCATATGATAAGCTGGGTGAGGTGACTGTACTGTCTTGCTGTATGTTAAAAAAAGTATTGCTCCTGATTCTGCCTGCCCCCCCCCCCACATTTCTAATCAGGAAGAAAAATATAGCAAGAGTTCTCCCACCATCTATCAGGTGAGACAATACAGTATAGCAAGACAACCTACCAGGTGTTTGCATACACACTGTGATTTGTTTATAGACTATTTACCCCTATTTATCCCTGTGTTAACATGCAAAGTGCTGACAAATTTTGCTGAAATACACTAAAAACCATAATCAGTTACTACATGCCAAATGACCATCATCACCTAGATGTCTTGCTTACAAAGTGATTAAACATCATGATACACCGTAACTTGCACACTCATTTAACCTGTTAGCAGATGAGATCATTCTGTACCCCTCCTTTCTTCTTAACAGAAATGACGTAAACCATTTCTCCTTGTTTTTGCACAAAAACAATGCTACTGAAGCCTGTTAAGAAGAAAGGAGGGGTACAGAATTATTTATTCAGTAGCATTGCACAAAAACAATGCTACTGAATGAGCCAACTTAAAATAATGGATATAATCTGGCACCAGTTTAGTATGGCATATCTTGATCGGGGGGCCCTCACTACTCTAGTCCACGCGCTCGTAATCTCGAGACTAGACCATTGTAATGCACTCTACGTGGGGCTGCCTTTGAGGCTCATGCGGAAACTCCAGATGGTCCAGAATGCAGCAGCCAGGCTTATTAGTGGGGTGAGAAAATATCAGCACATCTCCCCCACTCTGGCTGCGCTGCACTGGTTACCTATTCGTTTCCGCATTGACTTCAAAGTATTAATGATTACATATAAAGCCCTAAACGGTTTGGGACCTCAATATTTGGCAGATCGCCTCCTCCCACCCAGATCTACCCGAGTCACCCGACATAGCCAGCAGGGACGGCTGAGGGGACTGACGCCGAGGGAGGCCCGGAAGGAGAAAACAAGAAACTGGGCCTTCTCGGCGGTTGCCCCTCAGCTGTGGAACACACTTCCCACGGAAATTCAGCTGGCACCCTCGCTGGGTGTGTTCAAAAACCAACTAAAAACATGGTTATTCAGACAGGCCTTCCCCCCAGTCACCTAAGTTCTTTTTCCCCCTTTTTTCTGGTTCTTAATGTTGCCATCTTGGATAATATTAATTATAATAATTGCATTATAGTAGTTGGTTTTCTGCATTGTTTTAATGTGTTTTAATTTTTGTAAGCCGCCCCGAGTAGACGTTGTCTAGAGGGGCGGGGGAAAAATTGAATAAATAAATAAATAAAATAAATAAATGGCAGGGTACGAGCAATATGCAATAATCTCATCAGGCTGTTGAATGCATAAACTTCTGCCACAGAGCCCAATTCATACATTACTCCATAAGGAAACAGCTTGTAATGAAATTGAGTGTACAGCTTGACTTGTTCATGGACTTTCATGAGAGCTCTTCATGTGTGGGTGATTTATCCACATCTGTGTAAACTCAGGCATAAAATGTTTAAAACTCTGTCCAAACCAGTGAGATACTTCTCTCATGATCAGCATGTCACACAAAGTTCTGCTCAAACAGTTGCATTATGGGAATGTAGAAAAAGTTTCCAAAAAAGGCATACTTGGCTGAAATCTTGTTGCACTGCTGCCTAAAAGTTGTAACTTTGGGAAATGTCTCTCTCTCTCTCTCTGTGTGTGTGTGTGTGAGAGAGAGAGAGACAAGTGTTCTTAGCTTCATGCTCTTACTCTGCTATAAAAATTTACTACAGTAACTTCAGTTTAAAATGGCTTTTAATTAACTTAGCCCACAGTTTTTCCCAACCAAGTTTCAAAAAAATTGCTGCTACAAGAAAACGACTGGACTCCTATTTCTGATTTACAAAATAAGCAACATATCACTTAGAAATACTCAGAAGCTCTTAAGTGATTTATCCTGAAGTTCTGTATCACTCCCACAAAAGTCTATCAGGCCTAGTTCTGAATGTAAATGTCTAGAACATATCCCTCAATAAGACATACAGTCAGATTATAAAGTAAAAAAATGAGGGGAGGTAAATATATTTAGGTCAACTGGAAGTCTAAATTAGTTCACAAGAAAGCTGCCATGTAGCAGCCAATCCATTTCATTTGGTTTGAGCCAGTGGTTGCTTCCTGACTAACACCCCCATATTTCAGCGTTGTCTTCTGACACCAGAAAAAGGCACTGAAAATTATTATTAGAAAAGTGCAAAACAAGAACCCTCTTATATCCATATTTCATGATCTGTTTAAAACCTCTGCTAGAAACAAAGTTGGGTTAGAGAGCCATCTCTTTGGTTTTTCTTTTTTTAAAGTATATTTGAGTTTATATTTGCTGTTTTGAACCTGTGAACATTTCTTATTTACAGCTGAAAAAAGAACTAGTCAGGTTTGGTCCTCTTGCATAAACAAGACAGGAACATGAATGGGTGTGTGTCTGCGCAGAGGGAAGTTTGTTAAAACATTTCCAATCTCAACTGATGTTTATTTCTACCTCTAAAATTATCAAGGAGAAAACCCACCAACATTCCTCTAGGAGAACTAAATAAAGGATATGCTGTCCCTCCATGTCCTGCATATCTGACTGCTACTTAATGGAGCAGGAATAGGTAGAGCTCCAGGTTGAGTTTAGCACCAGGAAGAACAACCAAGGCTGGCTTTGACAAAAGCAAACAATATGTGCTCAGGTATAATACAACCAGGTTTTATTTAAGTTCTCTCTCTTTTTTTAACCCCCATACTAGCAAGAATTCAGAGGGAATTTAAAGTTCTGTAAACATAAACTACCCCCTTACCCCCTTCATAAGTTTACAAAGCAAAGGCGATCAGGAGACCAGATCTGTGACAGCACCTAGCCTCTCTGTGCTACTGGATCCAAAAACTATATACAAGTCTTCAACTGTTTCTGTACACAAGAGGGTAGGGGAGTGAAAAAAAATCAATGAAATAAAAACTAAATTAAATTGCTCTGGAGCAACTTCAGTTGTCTTCTTCAGGTGATGATGGCAGAAAAAGAATCTTCACATCCCAGCTCAATTTCCATGAACTGTGCAAGGTGGGGGCAGGGCCTTGAAACTAAGCACATTGGCCTCTTCCGACTATTCAGACATTCTGGGAGAAGGATAGGTGAAGTTGGATTACACTAATATACAAGCACAATGGACTGGAAGTGATGAGAGGAGACGTCGCATAATGAAGGCCAGCACACCTCATTTTACCCCTCCATGTGGTTTGTATAAACAGAAACGTTGCCAATGCTCAGATTCCTTGACTCATTTATTTCACTTTGAAGATGACAGCACCCTGTTCCTTGGTGTTAAATGCTGCTGCAGAATTTACAACATTCTGAACCACCATCATATGAACCAGATAAAATCTGGCTAAGTTTCAGGTTCCAAAGGTAGTGTCAACTCCCACATAACTCCCACCTGGTGAAGATACACATGGTAAGGATCCTATGTGTCTCTGAAACGAGACAAATTCACAGCAGAAGGGTCCAAAATAACTGGCCCAATCATTCTGGAGGAAATATTATTACAGGAGAAATTGAGCCTGAAGTAAGTGCCTCCTCCCACAACTCGAGTCCCCAAATATCCAGGAAGGCTGGAGTGTGCTGAAGCATGTACTCCAGTAGCTTTAGCATCACCACCCAATGAAGACTGACTTGAACTTCTCCAAATTCAATGTGCTGAAGAAAGGCTGGCAGGGATGTGCAATGTCAAACCAATCCAAACTGAATGCTGCCCACCACCACCATTCCTTGCTGTTGCCAGTTCTACTGTTAGCTTATGAATACATCTCCTGAAACTAGAAGGCAACTTTGCCTGGATGGAGCATGGAAGTCAGTATCTGCGTGGCATTTGGTTCTGAATGACATCTGTTAACCATGAGCTCTCCACTGATTGCATCAGATGTGATCAGAGTGATGGGGCAAGAAGGGAGGGAAGCTACCATATGTAGACCTCCAAATGGCTTTCCAAATATCCTGGGAGAAAAAAATGCTGCACAGTGAATTGCACTCAGCCTCATCAATACATCTTTCTCAAATGTTCAAAAGGAAGGAGCAGGGACTGCTATAAACAAAAGTGGTTGTGCAATCCCGGAAAAAAAGGACTTGTTGAGGCTGGAGACACCAGCATGAAAAGACTGATTTTGTGATCCATTTGCAAGGTAAAGATGACTGCAGGGAACTGAAAGTACTCTGTCCGGGGAGAATGCATGGTTAACAGACACAGGAAAAGCCAGTCGAGTTGCATATACTTAGTAGTCATCCAAAGTCTCTATTTCTCCCATATTCAGCCGCTCTGATGAAGCATTAACTGAGAAACCTGTAAAACAAGACAGATGCAAGTTTTTAGTACACAGATATGGTATGTTTTGGTATTTGCAGATCTTAGAAACTTTTAAAGTAACCAATACAGTTTATAGACATTATTCATAATCTCCTACTTTAAAGATATGTATGCCATTAAAGCAAAGGTGAGAGTAATTTCCAACCCCCCATATTTTATATAAAAATATTAAAGACACTTCCTTCTTTATAAGCCTCCAGTGTATTATTATTCCCTAAAAATTTAACAGAGAGATATAAAATCATATAAAAGAGATACTGATTAAAATTAAAACCGCCTCATATGCATGCACAGTAAACCTTTGGAACTTTTGTTTGTCTATCTTTCAACATTTCTCTGTGTGTGCTAAGTAATAAGACTAGAATGATAGCTAAATGTAACTGCAGATCCCCGAAGGGCAGGGAACAAACACCTATCTATCAGTGACTCTGAAGTACTATTTGCTCTTTTCTTTTTAAGATTTTGGGCCCATTCATTTAACACATATCGAAACAAGCTGTTGTGGAAGATATTTAGAATAAAAATTTTAAATAATTTATCAAGAACTTACCTAACAAGCTGGGATCTGCACGAACCATTTTTTGTTTCTTCTTCTTTTTGCCACTCTGTACTGCTTCAAAGTTGGATTGTTGGTTGTTGCTCTGGTTAGTCTGAAAGACTGAGTGCAATGAACTGTGGTTCATCCCCCACACAGATTCCTGAAACACAAATAAATGACTATTACAACCTGGAATTAAGCCTTGCTTCACCTATGGGAATGCTACACATACAGCAATGAACTACAGTTCTTAGCACAGGAAGAACATAAATTCATATCTCTGTCAGTTACTTGAACATTCTGCTTCCCACCTTGTTGCATTACACTTCCACTCATCTACCTGAGACTTTAAGAACAGCTGCAGAGCTAAAACAACAAAGTCACTCTATAATCAAATCTGTACTGTGTTCCAAGAACAGACTGTCAAATGGTATACTTGTTGGAGATAGAACCTTTGCTCTTTCAGTAATGGTAGGAAAAGGAGGTTACCTACCTGTAACCATAGTTGTTCTGCACCTGCACTGAATGTCTCGGAAGATTCTAGAGCTTAAAAATACATTTTTAGTGGGACGTTCCCCTGTGGAGTGCATGCTCCGCCCATCCTAGATTCCCCTTAGTTCCTGATAATTGTCTGCCGGGTAGAAGAATTATTTAAGATTAACCATGACAGACAGAAGGAAGGAAGGGAGGGATGTGTGAATTCACAGAGGACCACTCGAAGAACTATGGTTACAGGTAGGTAACCTCCTTTTCTTCTTTGTGATCTCTGTGAATGCACACAAATGGGTGACTAGCAAGCTTCACTACTGGATGGTGGGACGTCACGGTAAGAAATATGCCAAACAACTCTGCCAAAACCGGCGTCACTTCGTACTCTGACATCTAGACAGTAGGGTCTGACAAAGGTCGATGGAGTAGACCATGTTGCAGCACGGCAGATGTGAGGTATTTCAATCCCACACTGGAAGGCAGTAGACATTGACAGTGCTCTAGTAGAATGTGCTGTTAGGTGATCAGGAGATGATTTGCCTGACAGCTCATAGGCCAAAGAGATGATGTGGACAATCCATCTGGAGATAGATTGTGGGGAGGCTGGTGCTCCCTTGTGAGGACCATGGAAGCATAGAAAAGTTTGTTGGTTTGGTCCTGTCAATATAGAAGACAAGAGCGTGTGTCTTATGTCTAGAGAATAGAGCATGCGCTTCAGAGGTGTTGATGGTGATGTAATGATGGTAAGATGATTGGTTGATTGAGATGGAAGTCAGTTACAATCTTCGGTAAAAGGATACATCAAAGTACAATGTAACCTTATCTGGATGGAATTGGATGAATGGAGGATTGGAATGGAGGGAAGCAAGTTCACTGGCTCATTTAGCGGATGTTATCGCCATGAGGAAAGAAGTTTTCAAAGACAGCAATCTGAAATTTGAGGAAGCCATGGGTTCAAATGGTGGATGCATCAGAGCATTAAGGACAAGTTGGAGAGACCATTGAGGAATGATATGTTGGCGTGGTGGATGAATATTATTAAGTCCCTTAAGAAACTTTTTAACAGTTGGGTGAGACAAAAGTTTTGTGGATTTGGAGTTAGCCGGTTGATGGGCAATGATAGTGGAAATATAAACTTTTAAGGTGGAATAAGAGATTCCAAAGTTAAACAGGTGAAGTAAAAAGGTAAGTAGTGTCTTCAATGAAACAGGTATTACAGGTAAGTTATTTGGTTCCGCGAAAGTGAGGAATGCTTTCCATTTATTTTCATATAGGAGCTGAGTTGAAGGCTTCCAAGCTCAATCCAGGACTTGCTTCAAGGCGGGGGTATCCTCCAGGCTGTCAGATTCAGCGATGGAATGTCTGGATGGCAGACCATCCCGCTGTCCTCTGTCAGAAGGTTGGGAATCAGAGGGAGTCAGAACGAGTCCGTCGACATTGACCTGAGGTGAGTGAACCATGGTTGCCTTGGCCACCATGGAGCTAGAAGGATTGTGTTTGATTGGGAGTGCCGAATTTGAATGATTGTTCTTTGAATAAGTGGTATTGGTGGGAAGAGGTAGAGTAATCTCTTGTCCCAATTTATCATAAACACATCCCTAATGGAATTCTCGTCTGCTCTGGCTTAAGAGCAATAGACGGGGCATTTGACATTTGCTCTCAAAGAAAGACATTGATGGTGGGTATGCCCCACTGACAGCAAAGACGATCGACGATGGAATCGTTCAGAGACCATTCATGTGTTCTTGAGAATTAGATCTGAGAGAATTCTTGAGAATTAGATCTGCGATGTAATTCTCGTCTGTGGAAATGTGTACTGCTATCGGGAAGATGTGATGCTGGTAACACCATTCCCATAGCTCGATAGTGAGGTATAAGTTGACAAAGAATGGGTGCCTCCTTGCTTGTTCACATAATATACAGCCATGGTATTGTCCATGGCGAGCTGTACTACACAACCCTTGATGACTGGGAGAAAAGCATGGAAAGCTACGATAATCGTTAGAAGCTCGAGATGACTGATATGTAGCAATTTTCTTGATTTTTCCATAGGCCATGAGTTTTGTAATGGAGACAGTGTGCTCCCTAGCTGGGCTGGCATCGGTGGCAACCTGCACCATCAGTTGGAAGGGCAGAAAGGGTCGCCCTACGAGTAGATTCAGAAGATATGTCCACCAGGTGAGCTGCTGGGTTAATTCTGGTGTTAATGTTAGTTTCATAGATGAGTGGTCCGTCATTGGATTGAATAATGACAGGTACCATGACTGATCTGATCTCATTTTGAGTCGGGCATGTTGAATTACCGAAGTTGTAGATGCCATGAGCCCAAGAATATGTTGTGCATGATGGGCTGATATGGAAGCTAGAGGTTGGCAGGGTTGAATGGCATTTTTTAATTTGAAGATTCATTCTTGTGGGAGAAATGCTCTGGCTTGCAGGGAGTCGAAAAGGGCTCCGATGTAAGTAACCCTTTGGACCAGTTCTAGATGTGATTTTGTGAAATTCACTTTGAGTCCGAGATTTTGAGGTGTGTTTGTGTGTAACATTGGTGGCCCGGACGGCATCGTGATAGGATGTGGAAACTATCAACCAGTCGTCTATGTAGGGAAAAATGTTTACGGCCTGAAGAAAAAGATATGCAGCGACTGGTGCCATGCACTTCAAGAAGGTTCTTGGTGCTGTGGAGAGACTGACAGGAAGAGCACAGAATTGGTATGTAACATCGTCGAACCGGAAGAAATTTGTGATGACATGGGTGAATCAAAAAATGGAAAGGTCAATCACGACAAACCAGTGTTTCTGCGAAAGTAGAGGAATGATAGTGTCTAAATTCAACATTCTAAATCTTCGAGGTCGAATGAATTTGTTGAGGCACCTGAGATCAAGGATGGGACGGAGTCCTCCGTCTATTATAGGGACTGTGAAATATCTTGAATAGAAACCATTATGCAGATCAGATGGAGGAACTGTGATTATGGCCCTTTTGTGAAGAAACGAAGAGACTTCTTGAAGAACTGTGGAGTATTGGGTAGTTTTTATTTTTCCAATCAGTGGAAGGGACTGAAACGCTATAAAATAGCCGTATTTGATAATAAAGAGTACCCATTGGTCATTAGTTATAGCCTGCCATGAATGAAAAAATGGATTTAGTCTAGTCTGGAATTGATGTTGAAAGTCAGGTATTGGTAGCTGCAGATCATGGGTATTGCTTACCCTTTTTCTGAGGTCGACAACAGGGCTGGAGTCCTTGTGATTGCTGTTCGTTCCGAAAGGAAGATGATACCGGAGGTGAGAGGCCTTGAATTGACTTGTCTGCTGACTGAGGTTTAAATTGTCAGTAGGGTTGGAATCTTTGATATGGTTACTGTTGAAAGGATTGTTGGTAAAACTGATGTTGTCGATATTGATGGCATTGATATCTGAAGGAATGCTGAGCAGAACAGGATTGTGCTGCCTTTCTTATCTTATGAAGATTTTCCATGACTTAATTGGTTTTCAGACTGAAAAGTCCGGTTCTGTCGAAAGGAAGATCTTCTATTCTCAATTTTGCATCGTCAGAGAGGCCAGTAGACCAGAGCCATGCATGGCAACGTAATGCTATGGAAGTGGCTTGGGACTTCGATGCCGCATCTGCTGTGTGTTGGCTGCAGTTCTTTGTTGCTTAGACAGCTTGGTGGCCTCTGCATGAGTGTTGATAACTTCAGATTTGATGGACTTGGGAGCTGATTTGAGTATGGGGAGGATCTTGTTCCATAATTGTCGTTGATAAGCTCCCATTGCTGCCTGACAGTTTGTGACTCTTAGTGTGAACAATGTGAGGAGTAAATTCTCCTACCAAGAATGTCAAGCTTTTGTCCCTCCCTGCTGGTGGGAGCAACAGAAGATTTGTTTCGAGCTTTGGATTGATTAGACTCCACTATTGTAGAGTTGAGTGTAGGATGTTTTGCAAGAAATCTGGTGTCAGGTCCATGGGTTTTGTAATGGTTCTCTGTTCATCTCGAAATCTGTAATAAAGATGGAGGTTTATCCCACAATTCCTTAATCAGTTCTAATATGGCTGAGATGAAAGTGAGACTGAGTGGAAGGTTTTTTTTCTTGGTTAATATCGTTGAAAATTAAATCATCTTTGGGTGAAGTGAAGGAGGCTCTTCGATGTCCAATTGAAGGGATTTGGCCATTCTTGAAATCAATTGAGAATAGGAGGTAGACTCTTCAGATTGGGATGGTGATTTTTATTAATATCAGAAGTGGGCATAGGAAGGTTCCTGTGAAGATTGTGATTCTAATTCCTGAATAGAAGATGATGATGAGGATGGTGGTAGGTCCCTGGATCTTGGTAGTGAAGATCTTGTTGGTGGAGGTTGAAGTTGAAGTGAAGAACGTGAGGGGCATCTTTATGGTTCAACTGAGGGAAGAGAACCTGTGTATGTAGTAGTGACTTGGACTGATGATTGGTGTTTGGAGAACTGTTTTGCCCGTTTGGAATGAGAGCATTGGATTGTCAGGACCGAGTGCTTCAAGGTCAGTTTAGTTTGAACTGGAGCTGCAGGATAAGCTGACATTGACTGTTGTGATCGGTGTTGACGCGGAGAAGGAGATGGTGGTGGTGAATACCTGGACTGATACGGCAGTGTGTATATGACCTGTTTTGGTTTGTCATAGTAAAACTGGTCCTGTGGTCCTTACAGTAAGTAAGTATTGTAGAAATGGTATCTCTCTCCTTTCATCATGATGGTGATATTGTGGAGACTGGGGATAGTGGTAATATTCCCGGTATGGAGGAATGTACTGAGGAGGCGAGATATGTTTGCGCGTCTCTCGGTGCTTTCGAGGTGAACGGTGCGAAGGGCTAGAATAGGTCAAGGCCTGGTTGGCTGGAACGTCAGCTGTAGAAAAGCCAGTATGAGGTAACAAGCTACCGGTCAAAACTGGAGCTTGGGCCAATGTTAACTATGGCTCTTCTCTTTCTGATGTGGAGCCTGGAGCATCTCTAGAAGACTCCTCCATGATAGGAGATGGCAAGGTTGGTTGTGGAGGGTTGATGTGGGTAGACTGATGATTGGTGTTTTGCCTTTTTAGAAGTTGTTTTGTCTTTTGACACTGATTTGGTCTTGTCAGACTTCTCCGTAGGCTGTGGAGAAGGTGTCACAGAGCGCGGAGCAGGCTGAGATGAAATTTGCCACTCTACTGGAGGATCTGGGGACCTTGTTGTCTCCATCAAAGCTACGGAAGGGTTTAGAGACTTCTCCCACAGGTAGGATCAGGGTCTCTGGAGCTTAAGTTTGAGAGCTGGCTTCGTTAGTCTCTTACATGCTGCACAAGAGTGGGTGGGATGTTGTTCACACAAGCAAAATAGACAGCGGTCATGTCCATTTGTTAAAAGTATTTTATTTGAACACACAATGCACTGCTTAAATGGGCCTGGCGAGGCCATAAAGAGCAGGAAAAAAGAGGAAAAATGGCTTGGGGGGAAAGCAAAAATCCGGCTAGTGAAAAATAGAACAAACTCATAGGGGAACATTGATTCGATTGGAAATGAAAAACGGTAAATCTGAAGTACTGATTTAGCATAGAATATCAAGGCTAACTGAAAATCGCTCAATTCTTCCGGAGGACATCTGAACGACACGGCAGAAAAAAGGAACTGAGGGGAATCTAGGATGGGTGCTCCATGAGGGAACATCCCACTAATCATGTGTTTTTAAGTTCTAGAATCTTCTGAGATGTTCAGCGCAGGCACGGAACAACCCATTTGTGTGCATTCACAGAGACCACGAAGAAGAATTTGTTTGCAAGTTATTTCCTGAAGACAGAACTACAGACCTGTTGCTGCCACTGTTGGTTGGCTTTTTGTTTGGCACGGCGGTCAAGAAACTGTTTGGCAAATTCCTTGGCTTCTGGTGTGTCTCCAAGGTAGGCTCTGATGTAATCGTGGACCTCGTAAGGAGATTCAACTTCCTTCAGGAAGGAAACAAATGTGGGAACTGCAACAGGATGAAAAGATAAACTATGGAATATTTGTAAGCACTAAAGACACATGAACGAGAATCTATACTTATTCAATACAAATTATTTGATCGATTTCCCCCACACACTCTATGTAATGAAAGAAACACTATCTTTATATGACAAGAGACAGCACACCCTCCAGTCCCTGAGATGAGAAACAAATAATTTTCCTAGTAACGAAGATAACAGTATCATCTGAGCTTCTAGTTACCAATCATTCTTTCAAATAATTTTCTGCAACAACATAAGCCCTATGGTACCTGCAATTTACCAATGAGCAGAATATAAACCGTAACCTCAATCCCAATATATCTGCTCCCTACTGCAAAAATAATGAGAAGTGAGTCTTTGGCAATTTCCCCACCTTCTGTAATCTTTCTGAGTACAGCACCACACCACATATTTACTGTGTACATTCTATACACCTGCATGTATTATAAAATGCTTATATTCTTTTCTGCAACTTACCATCCAAATTATTGGCTGTGTTGAGTGCATGAAGCATTTGTTCACACCACTGAGTGAATCCATCTTGGGGTTTATTAACCCCCTGGAATAACTTCAACAGTTTTTCTTCTTCTTCAACCTTCTTATTCTGTCTACTTGTAACACCTATAGATTTACTAAGACAGACAAAAATGACATACAATTATGAGGGCGAGATTGTCAAGAAGGCACATATTAAATATGCAAGAGTAAAAAAAATAACAGGTTGCTTTAATGTTTGTTCTTTAAGTGGTCTTCTATGCATTCACACTAATAGGCCTGCACCTGTTAACGTGAATACACAGAGGACCAGAACAAAGAATTAGATTTCTGCCTTCAACCAGTAGCACAAATCTGAAGGTATACTGAGACAGGAGCTGACATTAAAAACTGAAGAATCCTGAAGAAGATCTTTGCTGTAATGTGTGGATGGAAAAGATCACTGCATTTAAACTCTATGGGGCTTGCTGATTTGTCTCAGCCTCTACACTGAAAGAAAAGGAAGTTCACTGTACTCCAAATCCTACCTGATGCTAGCATTGCTCTTATTTTTATTGGCCGTATTACGAGGTCCCACTTCTTTGACTGCATCATCCCAGAATCCCAAGTTAGAGTTTTTTGTGTCAGCATTGCTCCAAATACTGCTGACAAGGTCTGATGCCCATTGGCTGCTAGGACTGGTGTTCAGAGAGCCCCATACTGAATTGCCGATGTTGGTATGTAGATTAGAATGTTGCTGGAACAACAGAAAAGGAGACACTATTCATTATCATAAAACTTAGAGAAATAGCAATACACACAAATATGTTTGAGCTTCAACAACGGTAACAGAAATTAGAAATACTCACTGCTGAGCTTCGGGACCTGTTCTGCTGCTGCTGCTGCTGGTGTTGCTGCTGCTGCTTCTGCATCTGCCGTGCCTCTTCCTGCTGTATCTCCAAGAGAGATTTTGTAGTGCCAGCAGGTCTGGCAACATTTCCCCAACCAGACAATTTTTGTTGTTGTTGTTGTTGCTGCTGCTGTAGAGCTTTCATTAGTTCACGCTGTTGACGCCTTTGCTGAAAGACAGTTAATGTACAGCATTCCAGTTCTTAATGTACATATCAATGATCTTTTAGCCAGTCACTCATTCCGACTACTCTTTCAGAAAGCATACCTGGACACCAATCTTTTTAACATTCTGCTTTGCTTTCTCATTAAATAAACACAAGTGGTTGAACAAACTACCTACATACAGAACTCCTTCGTTCAAACTTTTGAATCAAATTTCATGAGCTGCAGGTTTAAATGTAAGATTTTATTTCAAATGGAACCAACAGTAAATCATTATAACACTTACCAATAAGAGTTTAACTTTCTATTTTTGAAGGATTTAGCCAGACAATGTACTGCCATAATAACTTCTGAATAACTACAGCTTCAGTCCTAAGAATCTAAGACCCTTGCCCACACATACAATCCTTTCTCTTCTTATATTGTTATTGTATTTTATTGTTGTCAGCCGCCTAGAGTGGTCCTCACCGACCGGATAGGCGGGGTATAAATTAAATTAAATTAAATTAAATTAAATTAAATAAATAAATAAATTTCCAGTGCAGAGCAATGAAACTCTAAAAGGCACACATTTTCTTTTCTTTCTTTTTTCTTTTTTTTGGTCTGACCTAAGAAACCATGGCTGCCGGTTTCAAAACAAGAAACTTAAACATGCTTTGAGGCTGGCTTGTTCTGAAACTGGTAAGCATTGTTTAAGATGAAAAGGGAAAGTAGCTGATTAGATGTTTGTGGGTTTAATCACCATATTCAAGGATAGGAATGAGAAGCAGCTCCATGCACTTTAGGGATCACTGAGCTTATTTATCCATGTGAAAACATCTGGGAAGTGTCACTGTGATTCCTAATTGTTACAATTCATAACTGTAGCCTAGCCATGAAATTTACCTCTTCCCTAAGCTGCCGCTCTCTTTCTTCTTCAAGTTTCTGGATTTCTGCTAATGATAATGTTGCCTGAGACTGACATGCTCTTGAATTGGATTGATGACCCCATGTTGAAGAAGATGGGAGCTGGAAGCAAAGACACATAGGAAATGGCAGTTAAGTTTTCTTAATGTAGAAGGTAGATACACCAAAATCTGATGAGACAAACATTGTTGTACTGCTCTAACAGTTAGGAGGTTTTTTTTTCTGATATTCAGCTTAAATCTGGCTTCCTGTAATTTCAGTCCATTGTTTCATGTCCCACATTATGGGATGATCGAAAATAAATCCTGCCCCTCCTCTGTATGACTACAGTGGTGCCTCGCTTAGCGATTGCCTCGTTTAACGATGTATTCACTTAACAATGAGGTTTCTGGAGCGATTTTGCGCTCCGTTTAACGATGTTCCCTGTGGGGAAAATTCACATAGCGATGTTCGGGACCTTGCCTCGCTTAGCGATGACAGTTTTAGGTCCCCTGTTTCGCTTAGCGATGTTCCGTTTTTGCTGTCAAAATCGGGTTCAATGCTTTCCAATGGGGGAGAAACAAATTCACCAAAAATTAACGAAGAGTCAGAACAAAGCCAAATTAAGTTTGCACACGTTTTAGAAGGTGCACTAACGATTCCAAGCATTTAAAACCATTTTTGAACCTTTTAAGACACACTTAAAATTGCAAAAACGGACATCGCAAAACCATTGAAATGCATTGAATAGGCTTCAATGCATTCCAATGGGGGATACATTGTTTCGCTTAGCGATGATTCCTATGGGGATTTTCGCTTAAGGACGGTAATCCGTTCCCATTGGAACGGATTAACCGGTATTCAATGCATCTCTATGGGAAAACGTGTTTCGCTTAGCGATGTTTTCCCATAGTGATGTTTTTTTTTGAACCAATTAACATTGTTAAGCGAGGCACCACTGTACTTTTCAAGTAACTGAAAAGTGCTATCATATCTCACCTCAGTCTTCTTTTCTCAATACTAAACATGTCCAGTTCTTTCAGCCTTTCCTTATAGGACTTAGTTTCCAGCCCCCCTGATTATCCTTGTGCCCTCCTCCAAACTTGTTTCAGTTTGCTGGCATCCTTCTTGAAGTGCGGTGCTCAGAATTGGACACAATACTCAAGGTGAGGCCTAACCAATGCTAAATAGAGGGGCATTAGTACTTTACAGGATTTGGAGACTCTACTTGTTTTAATGCATCCTAAAATAGCATTTGCCCTTTTTGCAGCCATATCGCACTGCTGGCTCATATTTCACAGTGATAAAGAAAAGATACTCATGCTAAAGAACCACCAATACCTTCATCTGTGCAAGTTGCTGCTGCTGTTGCTGTTGCTGCAGTCGGCGCAAGGCCTCCTGCTGTTGCTGCCTCTGCCTCATAATTTCTTTCTGGCGTTGGAGTTCCAGCTCCTTACGTTTCCTTTCTTCTTCCTCCTGCCGCTGTCGGGCTGCTTCCTCTTCCATACGTAACCGGTTTTCTTCTAACCGACGCTTTGCTTCCTCTTCTTCACGTGCCCATTTGGCCGCCTCCTCTTCCTTCCAAAAACAGAAATATAACATTTCTCTAAGTTCTAGATTGAAATCCTTCTTTTCAAAATATGTTATGCTACACAGAACTGCCAGGTAGCCTTTGCTTCAAATCATGAAAGCTGATCTAGAACATAATGTTTTGATGGAATAATGCTTATGTCAGAGTATTTCCTAGAGCAAGTTCTATTATAGCTGATTTTTTAACTGCTGTTTTAAGATTTGTCATTTTAAATGACTTATCAGTTTTGAATTAACAGTCTTATACTGAATCAAATCAAGGGTCTCTCTCTGCTGTTTGCTGCATTCTGACATATGAAATCACACACAATGCAGTAATTAAGGGGTAAACATGTGGATGTGTTTCAATCTTCAGTTCAGGAAAATCTTAATAGGAAGAGATTTTTGTCCTCCTTTTCACCTGTTTACGAAGCAACTCTTCTTGCTGCCGTCTCTCCTCTTCTTCTCTTCTCCTTTCCTCCAACCTTCTAAGTGCTTCCTCCTGTTGCTGCCGCTCCTCTTCTTCACGCTGCCGTCTTAGTGCAATTTCTTGTTCTCTCTGCCGTCTCAGAGCTTCCTCCTGCATACAGAATTAAGAAGAAACATAATAAAGTGTTTGGACTTGCATTTAGCCATACTATACGTGGTATATGACCTCAACCTGGCTGCCTGGAGAATGACCTAAAGCCAGATGCTTCTAGATTTGCTTGCTATATAAGCAAAGTTTATTTCAATGAAATGAGATAACCTTATGATTTCCAGGGTGCTACCATCCTAACTGCTAGTGGAGACACTCCTGGGTGAGAAACACATGTATTGGTGCAACAATGAACTTAGAATTTGCCCAACAAGAACATTTTTTAAATCCCTCATATCCAAGTTTATGATTTTTGGGTATGGGTATGCAAGTACCCATACAATTTTAAAGTGCAATATGTGAGTTGACTTAATGGCATTGAGGAGCTTAAAAACCTGTAAGAAATAGTTAGCACCTATCTTCATGCCTCAATACCAGCTACTCTGAACCACCCATCAAAATTTGTCATCTGTAATGTATCTATGTCTGCCTTTTTGGAAAAAGGCAGTCCTGAGGTTGTTAAGCAAGGCAGCCTAAAGGATCCTAATCTGCTCTCCTTTCAAACAATTATTAATATACAAAGTATTACAGAAAAGAACTATCAAAAAATTCCTTCGGTAATGTTAGTAAGAATTTATTTCTGTTAACTTTCAGAGGGCAAAGTTGTAGTTATGGTTGTAACATTTTAAAAAAGTATGGAAAATCACTGAAAAAATGAGTGAATGTGTTCTTACAGTGGTGCACCATTTCCCATAGGAATGTGCTGAAATGCAATTAAACCGAAGTTACAGAAAAGAACTATCAAAAAATTCCTTCGGTAATGTTAGTAAGAATTTATTTCTGTTAACTTTCAGAGGGCAAAGTTGTAGTTATGGTTGTAACATTTTAAAAAAGTATGGAAAATCACTGAAAAAATGAGTGAATGTGTTCTTACAGTGGTGCACCATTTCCCATAGGAATGCGCTGAAATGCAATTAAACCAAAGAAAAAAAATCACCACCACCCGAAAACAATCACTGGAAGACTCATTAAACGCAATTAATCCCTTCCGGCCGAAGGGGGGAAAAAGAAAAGCAATCAAGTGTGCAAGACCTATTGGAAATGCACAGAAAACAAACAGAGCAAATCGGAAATGAACAAAGAACAAAGGGGGCAGGTCGGAAATGCAAAGAGAACAAAGGAAAAAGCAAGGGAAGCACGCAGGACCCATCAGAAATGGGGAACCCCCTTCCAAAAAGCAACCAACCCCCCTAAGACCCATCAGAAATGGGGAGGAAAAAACCAACCAACCAACAAACCCCCCAAGACCCAGTGGAAATGGGGAAAATGCTCCAAAAAGCAACAAAACCATCCAAGACCCATTAAAAATGGGTAAAAAAAACCAAACACAAAAAAACCCCAAGACTGATCACAACACAGAAACATAACCCCCCCCCGCTCAAAACAATGCTGCAAAAACAACCAGAACAGTTTTTTAAAAGCAAAAAAACCAGCACCTTGCCTTACTAGGCAGCCCAAAGCCTCCCTGCCAACGCACACACACACTTACTCAGAAGCAGAAGCGAGGCAGTCCCAAGCCTCTTCCCACGCACTCTCTCTAACTGCTGGGGCAAAAGAGCTATAAAGAAGCAGCCTCGTCGCCACCTGCAGTTAGAAATTTGAATTTCCCGCCTTATTTGTTTGTAAGTGGAAGCTCCAGTTGCAAGCAGAAGCAAAATTTTGCGGTCGGAGCTGGTCGTAACTCAAAATGGTCACAAGTAGGGACGTTCGTAAGTCGAGGCATCACTGTATTTATGTTTTCAAGAGCAAAATGAAAGTATAATTTGTGGGGTTTTTTGTTGAGAACATTTTGAAGTTGAACATTCTGAAATGAGCTTCAGGTTCTGTTGACCTTGTTTTAATTTTGTGTGAATCAGCATTATTATTATTACATTAAATTAATATCAGAGTAATTTGCTGTACTGCAATATTATTCCCCTTTTTCTTTTTTTAAGTTGTCTTGTGAAGGGAGAAATAAATAAGTATTTTTGAAGATTTGCAGATAGAATAGTAGTTTCTAAAGTAAACACTGAGAAGTTAAAACCACATCTAACAGACAAACTAGTTTCACTAATTATAAAGCATATTTATTTATATGCCGTGAACGCCTCTTTGAGAGAGGGAGTGGTCACTACCACAGATGTTTTATAGATGGCACATGACCCCAGAAAAATTGTCAAAGATGTATACAGATGTATCAAATAAGTGTTGGAAATGTGAATCACAAGTGGGAAGCTATTATCATATGTGGTGGTCGTGTGGGGTAGCGAAACAATATTGGAAAAGAGTGCATGTGGCGGGTTGTGGCTGGGCAACTCCAGGCACTGCTGGATGAAACGTTTCAGGCCTAGTTTTTGTACAGAGACTGCCTTGGTCACCCTGTATGATGACCTTTGCAGGGAGAGAGACAGGGGGAGTGTAGCCCTGTTGATGCTCCTGGACCTCTCAGTGGCTTTCGACACCATCAACCATGGTGTTCTTTTGGATAGGCTGGCTGGGTTGGAAATTAGGGGCACTGCTTTACAGTGGTTCCGCTCCTTCCTGGCTGAACGTGTCCAGAGGATGGTGTGGGGGATAGTTGCTCTGCCCCATGGCATTTCTGTCATGGGGTTCCTCAGGGCTCAATACTGTCCCCCATGCTGTTTAACATCTACATGAAACTGCTGGGAGAGGTCACCAGGAGGTTTGGGCTGAGAAGTCAGCAATATGCTGACGATAGCTCTACCTCTCATTTTCCACCAATCCAGGTGAGGCGGTTTCTGTGCTGAACGCGTGTCTGGACCTTATAATGGACTGGATGAGGGTTAATAAATTGAAACTCAATCCAGACAAGACGGAAGTGCTGTTAGTGGGTGCTTC